TCCTAACTACGTCTACTTACGTAGTACTACTACTTACGTACAACGAAGAATAGAACGAACAACTACAAACGAAACAAACAACTACGTACTATTTTCTTATCTCTCTCTCTCTCTCTCTCTCTCTCTCTCTCTCTCTCTCTCTCTCTCCACAAAAAATTTTGGGGTTCTTAATTTGAGAATAATCCCTCTCTCAATGCAATTAAATTCAGTGCATGGATGGCATGTAAACAGCCAAGGCAGATAAAATTCAGTCCTGAAAAACCATTCCTATCATGTCTCAATGACTTACCACAGTAGAAACATGGCCAGCTCCTTCTGGTGGTCCCTGCCTGGCCAACCCGAAATCTGAGAGCTTTGCCCTAAAATCTTTGTCCAAGAGAATATTTGAGGTTTTCAAATCCCTAAAGATTATCTGCACCACCAAAGCACATACTAAAATATGGCAGGAATTGTTTGCAAATATGCATGCACTACAGCCACACTACAATTATACATTAGCAACGCAAAAGTAATTTACTCAAGCTGCAATAATTTACAAGAAAACAACTAGGATTTCAAACCAAAGACGGATCTATTAAATTACGAGAAAGTTTACGCTCTTGTAAACTAAAATGGTGTGATTGGACAAGACAGGGCCAATCTAATAGGTTGAGTTCCAAAGTAAATTCAAAGTTTGGAACTATAATATAATTAATGCAAAACATAATGCAAGCAGTTTCTTGTTCTTCGTCTTCTTTTTTTTCCCTTTTTTTTTGCCTTCGTAAGTAACCAATTGAAATATTAGAATGAGGTATACATCAACTTGTACGTGAGAGTCCAAAGAAACAGAGGCATGTATAACATACAAGAAAGAAAAGTAGAACGCAAAGTGTGAAGTAGAGGTAAGAACAAAGGACGGAGAGAGGATAGTCAAAAAAAAAAAAAACAGAATTGCAGCTCTGCAGCAAGTATGAAATGCATGTCAAGAAGCCTAAACGACCTCATCCAATGAAATGAAATATCCTCCTCATCCATCACTTGAGGCAGATTCCAGATATCTTATATGCTAAAGACTCACAAATGAGGAACTTTCAGACCTGTTATATATATGCAACTTTGATATGGAAATTTTGCAGCCTCAGTCTCAAATGTACATCATTAATACTATGAACAAAATTCAGTAAGAAGGACCAAATTTTCAAAATTTGATGGATAATATGAGAAAACCTGGAAATCCAGTTCCTCATGGAGGTATGCTAAACCACGAGCTGCATCTTGGGCTATTTTTAACCTTCGGGGCCATGGGATAGGGGTTGATGGTTGACATAATAGGTGATCCTCAAGGCTGTTATTGGGCATATATTCATAAACCAAAAGCCGCTGAATTCCCCTCTCATCATCTTCCGCACAATAGCCTACTAGCTTGACGAGATTCGGGTGACTGACCACTCCGAGAAAGTTTACCTCAGTGACCCATTCCTTGTGCCCCTGAGTACTAGAAAGTGAAAAAGATAAATAAACCATAACACTTCATTTTTTTGAAATTTTACCAAAAGCATTATCTCTTTGAAAAACTAAAAGAAAAAAAAATGAACCATTACATTGCACCAAGATAAAAGAAAGGAATTCATTGTCGTTGATAACATTGACAACAGCAAAAATTCAGTAACAAGAGAACCTACTTGTTAATCACACTGCTTATAAAACATATATCAACTAGCACATTCAATGCATGGAAAGATTAAATTTATCGAAAAGAAATGTGTGAATTGGAAAATTCAAGCTGACATAACCGAAAAGATCTTAAATGAGTACAAGACCAAATAACGAAACTTTGCAAAACGAGATAATTCAGAACAATTGACGCCCCAACAGAGATATATCTAGCTAACTACTCATTAGATCCCAATCATCTAGGATGTTTGACCTAGTATTAACTAAAAATAATAGTTAAAATCAAAACTAATCAATGTTATCACAGATGAGAGTCAATAATCTTCAGAGTTCTGCAATCTCCTTTGTCCTTTGTAAGCACTAAACGTCAAATGCTAGCAAGTCATCTGAAAACATTAGCAAAAACTTTGTAAGTGTGCATTCTGTTATAAAAAACTATTCTACACACCAGTGAGCTACGCGATACCATCAACCTTCACTTCTATGACAAAGTAACTGCAGTTACAGATTGGTAAAGAAGGGACAGATTTCTAAATTAGAAAATAAAAAACACGTTGTGAGTCATTCATACCTCCATGCTGCAAATGAGAAGCATGTGTACAATAGATGCATAAATGTGCAATGATAACTCCGCATGTATAGTCATGTATTGATTCGAACAATGAAAGTTGCAAACTTGCACTCCGAAGAGAATGTAACAAGTCATAGGGAAATGGCATCTAAAACTATCAAATCTATTACGAACAAGACAAGAATTATATAGACCAACGCATATCACAATCCATCACATTATTTTCGCTATCAATTTAAAGGTTGAGAACAATAATGGTAACATTGAAAATCTTGCCTGAAATCCACTTTTGTCCAATTTTTTCACTGCAACATCAATCTTAGTACTGGGAACATCAGGAACATCTATAACCCCTCTATATACACATCCAAAACCCCCTTCTCCTATCATAAGAGCCCGGCTAAAACCCCTTGTGGCAGCTTTCAGTTCAGAAAACTTGAAGACATAAAGATTATTTGGTCGCTGAGAAAGGCTACAGAAACCTGAATCTGAATCTGAGAAATCAGCAGAATTTGTGTCGAACTCAGATCGCCTGGCTTCCCCATTGTTTGAATGGATCCATGAAACCCTAGAAGTGCTAGTCCTATCCCCTTCCTTCTTCTCTCCAGGAGAAAAATGAAAGCACTTCATACCAAGCACGCCCAAAACCCTAGAATTCCTAATTCAAATTCCAAATTCAAAAAAAGGGGGAAAAAGACAAAATAGTGGGTTTTTCTCCTTTGGCTAGTGCTCTTGCAACTCCTAAATCCTAGTTCAAATTCCCCAAAAAAGTAAACCAGAGAGAACAATGTAGAGAGAACAATGTGGGTCGTACTCCTTGACATAATGGTGTCCGAGCTCTTCAATCCTCACTAAAATTCGAAAAGAAAAAGTGGGGAAAAAAAGGGGGATTCCCTCGAGGCATGGAACACCCGATCCCAATTAAAATCCCACAAGAAAAGGGGGAATTAGGGTTCTTCTCCTTGGCTAGGGGACATGTGGAGCTCTGTCTAAACCACTAAGTTGCAGGTTCAAATTCCATACTTACATGTCAGTTCATAGCAAAAGTTGTAGAATGGAATGACTATTAAACACTATAGTCTCCCATTCAAAACGATAAAGGTAAAACTTATGTGAATTTGGTAGAAATAAAAGCTTGCTCCAAATACTTAAAACTGTCCTATGTATGAATTGAAAAACAAAACAATTATATTTAAGGGGAACATCAAAATAAGCATCCACAAAGCTATAAAAACCTCGATTCAAGAAATGCAAGATTAAACCCTGAATGTTGAAGGTGCATTGTAAAAGCCCAATTACACCACGCAGAAAATCTAAAACCCTTTTTCAAATTGATGATAGGAATCGGCATTCAGGAAAAAAATCATAAAACATTCCCATAAACTCTGTGAAATTAAGCCCACGAGAAACCCGTAAAATGAACCACATTTCCCATATCATAACGAAAATGAACTAACAAACATTAACCGAAATGAGAGTTTAGCAACCCTAGAAATACCCAGACAGCCATAAACTCCATAACCCAAGTCCCAAGCCTCAATTTTGTGATCAGAACCCTAGAAATACCAAGAGAAACACAACTCCAGAAAATCCCTCCACAAAAATATGGCTAGAAACCCTAGATACCAATTTCGTAAATAAAAAACTCAAATAAGATAAAGCATTTATACCGTGTCTGGTGGCTTTGAAAGTGTCAGAGATCTGTTGAGATTGATCAACCACCTGGAGGTTCTTCTCCATGAATGATTAAAATAATATTATCACCATGATAACTGTTAACCACCATTTGTACTAAAATTAGTCAAAAACCCTAACCCTAAGAACTCAAACTTGTGGGCTACAAGATTGACCACGCTTTCCTTGTCTCTTTGTGAACAGGCAATCACGGGTAACCATTGGAGGTGTGAAAAAGCAAGACTAAAAAACCCTAGGTCTCTGCAACTTTTGTAACTTTTTCATGGCGCCTTGCATTTGTCATGTTCTGAGTGTTGGACAATGGGGATTAGCAGTACCATGGACGAGAGCTGTATGGTAAAGGTACGATTGCACCATACACGAGTCATGTATGATTGGTCATGGTGGTGTAATAATTGAGAACTTTAGTTAGTGTGGGCCGTCCGATGGATGTCCTGGTGGCGACGTGTTACAGGATTCCATTAATGTATCTAAGCTAACGTGTATAAGTCCATGGCGATTCCAGTAAGGAATCTAAACCTTTGTTTTTACAAACGGCGAGTCAAACTAGGTTCTCCCGGTTCGATTTGGAAATATGTTTGCTCGTATCGGTTTCAATTAAAAACTAAAAATCGTTCCATTTTAGAATAGAACTGTCGGTTTTTAGCCGGTTCAGCCCGGTTTTAGAGTAGAACAGCCGGCTTCCATCCGGTTCAGCCCGGTTTTAGAGTGGAACCGCCAGTTCCCATCTGGTTCAGCCCGGTTCTAGAGTGGAACCGTCGGTTCCCATCCGATTTAGCCCAGTTCTAGAGTAGAACCTCCGGTTCCCATCTGATTCAGCCCGATTCACACACGTAACGCATGACACACACGTGCGATCGTGCCCCACGCACACTCACACGCGCACACGTGTGTCCGAGCTTACGTGCGAGCGTGCCCCACCTAAAAACACGCTTGCCCGTGCCTGTTCCAACCAAAAACCGGGAACTGCCCGGTTCTAGAGTGGAACCACCAGTTCAGCCCGGTTTTAGAGTGGAACAGCGGGTTCCCATCCGGTTTAGCTCGGTTCTAGAGTGGAACCGCCGGTTCCCACCGTTTCAGGCCAGTTCACACACATAACGCATGACACACACGTGCGAGCGTGCCCCACCCGAAAACACGCTTGCCCGTGCCTGTTCCAACCAAAAATCGAGAATCGCTCGGTTCTAGAGTGGAACCGTCGGTTCCCATCCGGTTCAGCCCGATTCACACACGTAACGCATGACACACACGTGCGAGTGTGCTCCACATGCACACATGTGTTCGAGCGCACGTGCGAGCGAGCCCCACGCACACTCACATGCACACACGTGTGATCGAGCGCACGTGCGAGCGTGCCCCATGCACACTCACACGCACACACGTCTGTCTGAGCGCACGTGCGAGGTTGCCCTAATATTCTTATACATATTTTATAGTTCATATTGCATAGGTATTTATATACCAAAGTTGAATACCCATCTTTCGATATGGGATAATTCCCAAACATCATTAAATGAAAATGAAATGTAAATATAGTCTATTAATCAGCAATTTACAATTATATGCAGTTAGATGGCTAGATGGTTATGATTTTGTTTTTTTTACTTGTAGTCTCAAGTTCGAATCCCCTTGGGCATGTGTTGCATTTTGTTGTATATATAGTGGTTGGTATAAATATAAATATTTTTGTTGTATTCGAATCCCCTTGGACATGTGTTGCATTTTTGTTGTATATATAGTGGTTGGTATAAATATAAATATTTTTGTTGTGTATATAGTGGTTGGTATAAATATAAATATTTTTGTAAATAATATAAAAGACATAAAAAAATAAAAAATAAAAAAATTAATTTTTTACATAACAGTTAATTTTTGTTGTATATATTGGTATAATTATTTGGTAAATAATATGAAAGGTATAAAAAAAATAAAAATAAAAAGTTTATTCTATTTGAAATCTTCATCTTTCTACTAACAATCTCTTTTACCAAATTTATTATAAAAACCTAAAAAAATAAATTTTTGAAAAATTTGTACGCATTTTATTAAATTTTACATTGATAACCAAATCTTTTATTTTATTTATGAATTTTTACATTATAAATCATGTAATGTACTATTTTTCTTACAATTGTCAATAATACATTTTAAATTAGATAATATTATAAAATATTTTTAATTTGTTATTATTTGTCTAATAAAATAATTATAAAATGTAAACTAATAATTATAATTTCAATATATAATATTATAATTAGTGAGGTTGTAATAATTTTGGATTATAGTTAGTTAGGCTGTAATAGTTTGGGTTTTTCCCCAAAACGAGATTTTAATGGCCATTCTTTCACTGATTAGTCTACTCTTTATAATAGTCCATATATAATTATATATTTTATCCATGATAATTCTATGATTTTTCTTTTATGTGATGCAAATTTAATAGTTAAAATAAATTTATACAGGGAAAGAACATCTCAATATTCACAATTTGATAAAAAAAATGAAAGTTAATAATGTAGTACCCTCATTTTTTATTGGATTCCTAAAAAACAACATTTATAATGAATTTTAATAATTTTTTCGGATTTTTTTGAAGCTTTAATCCGACCGATTCAGCCGATTCTCGATCCGAATCGCCGATTCGCCCATTCGGATCTGTTTTTGAGGTGCCCGATCCGAGTCACCGATCCATTTTTTAAACCATTGATCTAAACTAACGTGTATAAATCCATGGCGATTTTTTTTTTTTTTTTTTTCAATGGAATAGGTTCAAAACTTTAAAAAAAATTATAAAAAACTCTAAGACTATACTTTCCATACCAAACTTAACTTTTTATCGTACTTTTTTTACCCAATGCACAGTTCAAATACCCTAACAATAAATAAATAAATAAATAACCCAGACATACTTTCTATTCCAATGCCCCAACAAAAAATAAATAAATAAATAAACCTAAAGGCCAGTTTGGATGTACCCAAAATTACAATATTTTTCAATGACAAGAAAAAAAGATTGAGATAGGCACTAGAACCGTTTGGATAACCCATCAGCATTTATTTTTCAACCAAATAGATTATGACGCTAAGCCAAATGTGCCAAAAAAAAAACGTGAGTAGAAAAAAAAAATTTGGCTTGCAATTTTTGTAGGTTCTCTCTACGTGTTTTTCCCCCAAACTTACGCTTCTCTTTTGGCCTTTCCGTTTTTCCCCCAAACTTTCACTTCTCTTTTGGCCTTTCCACCATCTCACTGCTATTTCCTTCTCTCATCCTCAACTACAGATCCTAACATCCTTTCTAGATCCATCGAATTTTTTTCTCACTAAAAAATGAACCTTTCTTTTCCATCTTTCTCTCTCTATAAAGCCCCTAATTTTACTTCTCTTTTGGCCTTTCCACCATCTCATTGCTATTTCCTTCCTCATCCTCAACTACAGATCCTAACATCCTTTTTAGATCCCATCGAATTTTTTTCTCTCTAAACAATGAACCTTTCTTTTCCATCTTTCTCTCTCTAGAAAGCCCCTAATTTCACTAAGCTCTCCCTAGCATCCTTCCCATCTTTCTCTCTAGAGAGCTCCTAATTTCATAGAGCTCTCCCTATAATCCTTTGCATCTTTCTCTCTAGAAAGCCCTTAATTTCATAGAGCTCTCCCTAGCGTTTCGACGGGTAGCTGGATAGTGATTTCTTTTTAATGCAAGCTTTTGCTGAATATCTCTAATACTCTTTATTCTCCATCTAAATTTAATGGAGTGGTTCGATATCTCTAATAACCTTTATTCTCTATCTAAAATTAATGGAATGGTTTTCTGAGTATACAGAGCAAGATGTTTTACAACTTCAAAATACTTATTGAGCAAACCTCTTTTGTCCAAACCTCAAAACATTTGCAACCTCACAATACTTATGGAGCAAACCTCTTTTGCCCAAACCTCAAAACATTTGCAGAGGAAACCTCTTTTTTTCATCCATTACTCTCTCTCTCTAATAATAATATTTAACTTCTCCCTGCTCCTATCTCTAATAATAATATTGAACTTTTCTCTGCTCATGTTTTCTAGTTCTTCTCATTCTCTTTGTCTTCTATATTTATAAGAATAAACTACAAGAGAGAAGAATCAATATAATTAAATTATAGATTTGTATAAATTGGGTTTGGAATTTCTTATGTATTTTTTTGCAACACATCCAAACAGACATATCTGGCAAATAAATATTTCTTCTTATCTTTTAAGATACATCCAAAAAGTCTACCAACATAATAAAATAAAATGGTAATATTTCTTAATTGAGGATAAAAAAATGTATTTTTTTTCAATATGAATATTTTATTCTTTGACATCCAAACTGGGCCTAAACCATCCACTTTTACTTTTACCTTATCAACACCTCTCTATCCTCTATCCCACCAAAATAAGAAATCCGGCACTTTCTAAATGTGGTTTAGCAGTAGAGCTCCGGCATTGTGTATAGTGTCGTCCGACAGTTGCAACAAGCGGTCCATAGATGTTACTAGATTATTATGTAAACAGTGGTATGGCACTACTCAGTTATAGTTGTCTTAAGGCCGTCTAGCACTTGTGTCGTCCCGCAATGTAATGGTGAGCTCTGACAATGTGTTACTTGATCCAAAAGTCAATGTCAAATCTGAGACAGTTGCAACAAATGGTCCATTGATGTTACTGGATTCTTATTTAAAAAGCGGTCTGGCACTACTCAGTTTTAGTTGTCTTAAAGCTGTCTAGCACTTGTGCCCTCCCGCAATGTAATGGTGACCACAATATAATGGTGAGCTCCAGGAAGAGTATTTTTATCTAAAAAATGAACTTTTTCTGTTGAGGGGGTATTTGCATAGAAAGTTTGTTTTGAAGTAAAAAATGAGATAAAAAACTAGGTTGGGGTAAGTTGCATAGAGAGTGTGGTATTGGGCATTTTTTGCAATTTTCCCTAAAAACTTAAAATAAGGCCTA